CCAGGTGTTTCCTGGATATTCTTTTCCTTTTCAAATGAACTTTATAAACAATTGAGCTAGCTCAAAAGAAAAAGAAAAAAATTGATGGAATTTTTGGGGAATCATTCTATTATTTATTTATTTATTCATTCATTCATTCATTTATTTTTATTGGGGAACAGTGTGTTTTTCCAGGACCCATCAGCTCCAAGTCAAGTAGTTGTCTTCAATCTAGTTGTGGAGGGCACAGCTCCTTGGCCCATGCATGTGGGAATCGAACCAGCAACCTTGGTGTTATGAGCCTACACTCTAACCATCTGAGCTAACCGGCTGCCACAGGAATTGTCTGTTGGGTTGTTGGAAAAGTCATGACGCATTTTTGCAATGAAAAGCATGGAAAAAATACATCATGACTTTTCCGACAACCCAATATTTATAAATTAGCTTGAAGTACTGATACCTTTATGAGGTTTGATTTTCCTGAACATATATGGTATATCTTTCTATTTGTTCAAATCAATTTTTATGTCACTTAGGAGTGTTTTATAAATTTCCTCATGTAGGTTTTGGAAATATCTTGTTCGTTTTACATCTAGGTGTTTTGTTTTATTTGCTTTCCTCTGCGGGGTATCCTTTCCCATTATATCTTCTAACTGGATTTCATTTATAAAATGAAAGCTATTGGTTTTAAAAAGTGTTTCAAAAAATCATTGTGAAATAGAAGAGAACACTTCTCATTCTATGGGGCCAATATAACCTGATACCCAAACCAGACAAAGACATAACAGTAAAACTACAGACTAATATTTCTTGTGAATATAGATACAAAATGTTCTACAACATACTAGCCAACCAAATCTAACAACATATAAAAAGAGTGTACACCATGCTGAAGTGGGATTTATCCCAGGAATAAAAAGTTGGTTTAGCATCCAAAAATCCATTAATGTAATACATAATGTCAATAGAAAAAAGGACAAAAACCACTTGATCATCTTAATAAATGCAGAAAAAGCATTGGACAAAATTTAAAACCTGTCATGATAAAAACACTCAACAAACTAGGAATGGAAGGGAACTTCTTCAACCTGACAAAGGACATGTATGAAAAACTCAACAGCTAACATACTCAACAGATGCTTTCCCCCTAAGGTCACAAACAAGAAAAGGATGTCCTCTCTCACCACTTCTATTCAACATTGGACTGCAGGTTCTAGCCAGGGCAATTAGGCAGGAAACTAAAATAATAGGCATCTAGATTGTAAAGGAATAGGTAAAACTATCTCTAGTTGCATGTGATCTTTATATACAGAAAATCCTAAGGCATGCAATAAAAAAGCTACTAGAATCAATGAACGATTTCAGCAAGATTGCAGGATGCAAGATCAATAAGCAAAAAGGAATTGTATTTCTACACATTTGAAATGAACAAACTGCAGATAAAATTAAGAAAACAATTCCATTTATAATACATCAAAAAGAATTAAATGCTTTGGAATAAATTTAACAAAAGATGCACAAAACTATAAAACACTTGAAATAAATTAAGAATAGCTAAATGAATGGAACTACATCCAATGTTCATGGATTGGAAGACTTAACAATAAGATGGCAGTGCTCTTCAAATTCCTCTACAATTCCTAGATTCAAAGGAATCACTATCAAAGTCCCCACTGGCTTCTTTGCAGAAACTGATTAGCTGATCCTAAAGTTCATATGAAAATTCAAGGGACTCAGAATAGCCAAAAACAATCTTGAAAAGAACAAAGTTGGAGGACTCACACTTTTCAAAACTTACTACAAAGTTATAGTAATCAAGACAGTGTGGTACTGGTGTCAAGACAGACATATAGACCAGTGGAATGGAATTGAGAGTCTAGATATAAACCGTCACCTTTATAGTTCGTTGATTTTCAAATAGGGTGCCAAGATGATTCAATAGAGAAAAGACAGTCTTTTCAACAAATGGTGCTAGGACAACTAGATACCTAAACGCCAAAGAATGACGCCGGAATCCCAACCTCACGTCATATACAAAAATTAACTCAAGGGGCCGGCCGAGTGGCGCGATGGTTAAGAACTGGCTTGGGATGCCAGAGGGCCCCGGTTCGGATCCCACATATGAGGGCCAGTGACACT